AGAAGGCTACATGCCTACATTGCTGTGCTTCTAAACCAGAGCTTCCTCAACACTGAAAGTATTCAAGCTCGTATCTCTGTACAAAGATTAATGTACATGGATGTCTTACACCTCATGGCCCAAATCATGTGTCACCACACTGAAGCACTTACAGCTACTGCTCTTTAATCTCTTACTATTTTTCATATGAAAACCCAATGCTAAATCAAAGGTTAAAGTGGAAAGAGTTTCTTTTACTTCAGAAAGTACAATAAAGATAAACAGCACAGTATAATCTGGAAGACCCACCATCAGCACTTGGAAGCTAGTAGTGCTTTCCTCCCTACGGAAAAGACAAAGATTAAGACCAAAGTTCTTCATTGTGCTGAAGATCTTAATTTCTAAATGGGCAATCAGCCCAATGACACAGGAAAATACTGCATATCACATTCCTGTATCTGCATACACATTTCCACTGTGGGAAAAATCAGTGTGTGAAGAGACATTAGACATGGTGTTATGAGACATTTGCCATTACATCAATACCTAAGCAACCTATGCACGTGTTTTAACTTATCCTTATGAGATGTAGATCTTAACATCGCAAAATGGAAAACTGCATAAAATAGCTTGAAAACATCAGGCATAATGCTTTTACGTATCTCTCTGCTGATTGACTGAAAAAGCCTAACACCCCCTGAACATCCAGAAACAAACACAAAAATCAAGACAAAACCATAATCTAAATAAACCTGCAGGCCACATGACTCACAATTTGGCAGACAACTACAACAAGCTCAGTAAGAGTGACACTGCTGAAGGCTTAGCTACAATTGGGAAAATTGACTGGTTGGTCAACCTGGTGTCATTTACGTTTCATCCTTCAAACGATGACCAGACAAATGTTGATATATGGAAATAGCACTCAATTCAATTAGACAGGCCTAGGAAGCACGGCACAAGGAGGAGAGATTTCAACACTGAATACTATGAATAATAAAGGCAGAATAAATAATCATTCTGACCAAATGTGAGAATTCTGATATTTAGGAAAGGAACTATATCAACCATAAGAAGCCAGTATTTAGTTACACAGAAAATACAGCTGGATCACATAAAATGATAAGCCACCCAAGACTGCCCAACAATGGCCTTAAGGCCAGGCATGCCCTGCCTGAGATGGCAAGTGTATGGATCCAAATCTTTTTCACTCCTAACACAGAAATGAAGACATTTTTCAATTAAAACTAATAGCAGATAAGAGCTACCAACAATTCTCTCTTTGTATTTGTGGGTGGCTAATCTAGAATTTGTGCTATTGTAATTAACATCAGAACTGGGAACTACTAGACATCTATTTTATCCAAAAAATTACAAATGAAATACTCTCTCCAATGTCAAATAATTGTCAAGAAATCTTCCACAGCCAATATTTCTTCATAGCGCAATAAATGCTGGCCATCTCACAGTCAACTCATTAAAGAGCTGACACTTTACTTTGTGCTATCAATAGTGTCCTGTTGTGTTTTCTAACAGAGAGAGAACACAGCCTTCCCAATCGAGAGTCAGAACAAATCATGCACACTGCTGTTCAGTGACCTATCATTGCTAATATAAGGAAGAATGCATACGAGCTTTCATCGGTATTTTGCCAATTTCCAGCGTTACACAGTGTAGCCACTGAGGGATTTTTATTCTTCCTACATTTGGGACCCGCTGCTTAGTGGAGGTCTGTCCTACAGGCAACTGAAAAATGGGATGCCCAAGACAGACAAGGAATAGATATGTGACAGAGAATGCAGTAACTTCAGCTCTCTGCTTGTTCTCTGAAAGCCAACAGTAGGAATCTACAATGAATGAAGACAGTCTACTAAATAATTTATGACATACAGCCTACTTCTAAATGATTTTTTTCCCTGTTAGATGTGCATTAGCATATGGGAGCCTAACATAAGGAAAATCTTATCTGGTCTCAGAAAGAAAAAATTTCCCATCCACAACATTACTTCAGGTTAGACCAGAGCTTAAATTACTCTGAGACGATGCTACCATCTTCTAAGGAAGTCTCTAATCTGCTGAATCACAGCTTGGCATTTGAAATACATCCTTGAACAATCATTATACCAACATAGGCTTCACCTATTACATTCACTGTTTGCATCTCAGCAGACTACTCCACAAAAAAAATGGCATTATAGAGTGTTAGCTTATTCCCAGTTACAAAAGTTTCTAATCTCAGGGAAAACCTTCAGCTAAGACTATACTTTGTATATAAAAATAGCATGCTTTATCTTTACACAAAAATCCCATTCCCCCAGATTTCAATAGATTCCTATGGACCATGCAAAATGCCACAGACCACAGAAGCTACAGTTTTGAATGGATGCTTTTATTGATTTATCAAGCATGAACAGATTTTGTTTGTTAAAAAATGTCCAGATGAATACCATTCATAGCAACTTGTTTCCTCATAGTCACACAGAATATGAAATAATTCAAGAAACAAGCAAAAAAGAGCACCTAATTAGTATCATTCTGTGTATATATGCATGTACGTATATACACACATTGCACTACATCTGTGCTTATACTGTTGTGTGAATACCCATACATCCATACATGTATATACATATGTATACACACATACACAAACATATACACACAGAGAGTACTCACTGAACTAACAGTCCAATGTAGCAACGTGGCCTAACTCCAAATGAAGTATTCTGTGTTAAAATATAAATAATACAGAAAGGCATACAGATAAAAGACCATTCATTTTTTACTTTCACCAAAACCATGACCTGCCTTTGAACACAGTGTCTTTAAAACGAAAATATGTGAGATCACTGGAGATCTTTCCAAGTTCATGGTGTTAACTACATCCAGCTCGATCACTGCTAACATTGTATGGCCAAGCACCGAAGAGTGTTTTCCATTTGTTCACTATAAAATCAGCTTCTAGATTTAACATTTCTAGGGAAGGAGGAGGCACATGGCCTTGCCACTTGTACTGTAGTAATACATACTTTCCTGTTGGGCAGCAACTTGGCAAAAATCCTAAATTAAGAGTCCCTTCGTCCTGTACATTTTTATAATTGCTTTCACCACTCATCTCCTGTCAATTCATTATAATAATTTTCATGCCATCTCAACTATCTTCCAAACATTCCAGGCCGACTCATCCAGATATGCAACAGGCTGTACTGGTAGCAACGTACTCAGATACAAATGTAATTTCTGAGGATTTATTTACTTTTTCATTTTTGAGCATATTCTTTTCTTTGCTACTTAAGACACAACAATAAACAGTGCAGTACACTGACACTGCATGTACGTACTTTCCTGTATTTATGTCAACCCTGGAAAAATCTGTGGTTCTTGCTTGTGAACCATGGGATACTGTCATAGCAAAAAGCCACATACATTACCAGCAACGTACTGTCATACTTTTCTCCATTTGAGTAATCAGCTAGTAGAGCGTGTAAAGGCAAACCAAAGGAACAAAGACTGACATTTATTTCCTATTAAAAAAGGGAAAAATCAAACTCCGTATGCGTGTATGTATTCATTACCAAGTTCATAAGTTTTCTACATCATCATAAGGCAAACTGTAGTACAGCTTTGTACCTGCAGAATCAATATTTAAAAAATCTGAAGCTGACTTTGGGACCATTTTATTTTGGACCCATTAGTGAACAAAGTGCATTAGGGCATCCTTTTCAAAAGACACCTAAGCATGGTTATAAGCTACTGAACAAATATTTTCTTGAAGTTGGTATTTATACTCCTTCCACACAGGCAGATTTTCACCACTTGAACAGTAACAATAAAACACTGTAAGAAGACCACTCTTTTAAAGTTGTCATATGCCTGAAACATCTCCCAAAATGATCATTTATAAACAAGTACTGTAGTAATTACAAAAGCCTTCTACCTCGTAGAAGGAAAAGTGAAAAAATGCACCTGATTCAGCTTTGAGATAAAATAGGTGCAACTTCTATTGACTTCATTGAAGTTCATCCACCAACACCTACATGAATGTAGAGCCTGCCTGTGCAGATTCCTACTATTCCTGAAAATTTGTTTAGTGCTCATTCACAAAGAGAACTGTTCTTTCCCAAACAGCTCAAGACAATTATAACTATGAACAAACTCCAGCTGCAATGTTTCTCCATACAGCTCATGCAAAACAGATTTCCTTGCTTTGTTATTACTACATAATGTACAACAATGAAACATTTGTATTTAATTTAAAACCAATGGTAAGGTGGCTCATGTCTCACTTCCGAGTTATTGGCTGTGCTTGCTGTGTTGAACCTTGTAAAATCAGCAATAAGCATTCATGTGTCTACCATCAGAAACGCAATGTCTTCCATTACAATCAAACCTTAAATGTTGCAGTGTTTTGTCAAATTAGTCTACAGCCAGACCTTGGGGTGGCTCCTCTCCTCCAGCGTTGCCATTTCAGAGATGGTATCAGTCTTTAACGTCCTCAATGACTCTACAGTGTTTCCCAAAGACGAAAGTGAAACTGACAGATGGGAATGTTGTCATCAACAAAATAAATCACCACATGATTTATGCACTCAGATTTCTAGAAGATATTCCACATGTGTTTTGCAAACAGAGAATGCACTGCCCTGTGAACAGAAGTAAATTAAACTTTCTTTTGCTGTGTTGGCTAGCTCTACTTCTTTAGTTGTTTATTTTTATTCTTTTTGGTCTGCACATTCCCATGTGCAAGGTAGAAATTATGAGATTTTGCATTCAATAAGATCAGTAATGACTACTAAAATTGGCATGAATAAAACCAGCAGTATACTGACTTGTCCACCACTGCACACTTTTATCCTTCCAATTTCCTGCCTTTATCCACTGTGAAATAAAATAATGTAACGAGCTGATGAAACCTTAATGAATGTGACCATCGATGTGCAAAACAAATAAGTCATTTTTCAGGTATCCAAACCAGGCTTTCTCTTCTCTCTCTCCCCTTTCTTCCTTTCTTCTTCTTCCTCTTCTTCTTCTTTTTTTTTTTTTTTTTTATAAATAATTTATAAATCTTCCTGAAAGGGACTAAATGCAAAACAAAACAAAAGCAACTGCAAAAAGAGTTCTAAGGTATTATTAAAGCAAATTCTTGTCCTTCTGCATATAGTACTCAGAAAAGAGAGATCTACCCCTTTTCGGTTCTGGCTGGTTTTGGCAGCAACAACTGAGATGCCACGCAGTCCACCAGCTCCAGGCGAGCTCCTGCAGGCAGCTGCCCTGGGAAACACATCCTCCTACTTGTTAGCTTTTAACAGTCATGCCAGCTGCTCAGAGGAGTCTAAGTGATCAGGGATGGGCAAGCCTGTTATAATGGTTAAACACTTATTCCACACAGTGAATGTGGGGCATACGGGCTGCCCAAACGTAATGTCAAAGGTGTAAAGGTGCAGGGAGTTCAAGGCATCATAAAAAGCAAGGGAACCATTGTCATAGTCCAGCAAAATGCCGACCCGGCGGAGATGAGGTGCAGGCTCTATTGGGATTTCTTTGCTGTTGTGTCTCACCACCCAAGTGTTGTTGCAGCGGCACAGCACCCAAGAGGCAGAGTTCTTCCCGATCCACTCATGCTTTGGTGCTGACTTGTATGAAATACCGATGGCATACCTGCAAAACAAACACAGCTCTGGAAAGCAAGTGCCTCTTGTCATGCCTGTGTGTCAGAGTGTCAGCCCAAAGGAATCACCGAGGCCTTGGTCTCTTATTTGTGCTGACTGAATTCTAATTAAGTGAAGTTGCAACATAATCTTGGCACAGAGTTAATTTATGTTTTTCCCATCTCTTTTCATTCTGAGAGGTCAGAGAAACTTTACTGTTCTTTGCATTGTTTGTAGTTTGGCTGCTATGGTAATTTTTTGGAGCATGCATCTCTGGTATTCAAAGGGAAAACTGTTGAGTACTCAGGAACTTAGAGTTTAAATCACTGAGCCTCATATTTCCACTTCTAAACAGATGAGCACAGAGGAATTCATTGATTTTAAAGTACTTTGCTGTCTGTCTTCTAATCTGATCTCTTGTTGCTCCTATAATATATAGACCAGAAGGAGGAACATAGGAATCAACATCAAAAGACACGTTAAAAAAAAAAAAATTGCCATTCCCAAATATGTTTTGCCAGATGTTGGTGTGGTTTTTAGATTCAAATGAGCGTTTTTTGGACGGGGTATTGGGCCAAGTGAAGCATTTGTAGGTGAAGACATTCGCTCTGCAAACCATAATTTATGGCAAGATGTGCAAGGTAAAAGGATTGTGAAAATGTTCCCATTAATGGATATCCACGACAAGTACCTGATTTCTCATATATTAAAGAAATGCTAAAGTTCCTCACGTTTTAGAGACACTGAAGTATTTGTTGTTATATGTTGTTGAGCTTTCAACCAACAGAGATTAATGTGCCACGAGTTATTCTGCTTTCTTGCCTTGGAGTTGGCACAAGTGCACAATATTTTTCTTGTTTGAAACACTGGGCATATCTGAAGACCTCACTGATTTTCTGCTCCATTAACTTCCATCAAGACTGCTGCCTTTGAATCTCAAAGGATAACATCTCTTCTATTGACTAAAGGGACCTTGAAACCCAGCCCTGTGTTGCACAGAGGATCATTCAGAAACAGATAAATATACTCTTTCATTTATTGTCTCTACATTCAAACCCTAGGGCACAGACTTAGCACCACTGCTCCTCACCCTTTCCTCAGAATTTCCACCACTGTGAAGTTGGATTGTCTAATTAGCCGCATATTCTGTTTCTGTTTTGCTTTGAAGGGGCAAAACAGAAGGGCAGTAACATCTTTCATATTTAGTAAAGAGATATCACACCTATAAAGTTCACTCTGTTACAGAAAAAAGATGAAATTTCTTAGCTCTCCATCACACTAAAATCTTAAAATATATGTTCTGTAGGTTCAAAAACCAATCAGCCTCAATAACAAAGGAAAAGTTCTGTGTGGGTTGCTAAATATAAGAATGCTCTATCAGGCAGAATAAGTTCCAGAGTCTGAGAGTGATGGAGTTAGGGAAAACAGTCTGACAAACTGTAAAAGTATACGCTTGTCCTGCTTTTGAACCATTCCTCAGGTCTCAGTTATTGATCTCCATGAGAGGAACGGTGCTGAGGCCTTCATGGGCCTTTGGTGTGAACCAATGATTCTCATACATATTTTTATATACATACCACGTACTGCCACTTATAACCACTTCCCAGTAATGCCGTCCGCTGTCAATGAACACATTGCCAGCTACTCCATAGCTCCCTTGGCTCGTGAATCGCTCTGGTGTATGACTCTTTTTGGAGGAGGTTTCATCACGTTCCACTGTCAGGTTGTCATGAGACACTTTCAGTTTTCTATGAGCAGATTTGGGGTCCAGTTTAAATGGCTGACCTAGATACGCAAAGACAAAGGTAGCAGGAGAACAGTTTGTCTTTAATTTTAAAAAGAGGAGTTGATAGAAAGCATAAGAAAGAAGCATACAAGATTACATAATCATATTAATCTCCTTCTCTGAAGTGTTCTCAAGACAGACTGATTTTGCTCTCTGCACTGGCTGGTTTGCATTGCCAGTTCATTGTCAGTCTCATTGTGCACTAACATCCCTGTGTTGACAATCTCTGAAAAGAGCCCTGCATAATCATCATGCCTATTATCTCTGACCTAAAGGTAACCTGAACGCTCTAATTCTTGCATGTAATTGAAACCAATATACATGTTAATAAAGGTCCGAGGGTTGCTTTTTTCACAGCATATTAGATTTAGAATGTTACATTCTATTAATTCCCTAGGGATAAAGTTCCATAATAACATTTTCATCATTGCTACAAAAAAGTGTTATTTCCAAATCCCACAAAATGAATTTGAAAGTAAGAAAAAGCATTAGCCTTGTCTGTTCCTTCACTCACAGCTTTATTTATAACAAGCACAGTCAACAATTCAGGATCAGTTTTGGAAGGATGCCTACATGGTGCTGTCCTGTTGGATACCATGCATTAATAAAAAGAAGGAAGTGAACTATAACTTGGTCCAGATATTATGGTGTAAAAACACTGCTGAGGTTGTTGATCTTGGCAAGTCTCTTCAGCTGTAGCACAGTGCTTGCAGACAATATCAGGAAACTTTTTGGTAAACCAAACCCTGTAGATATGTAAAGACTGCCACAATTCTGATCAATGAACTTTGTGGGTTAATAAGCAGGGTGATTGCTTACCTCCACAAAGGTACAGCTAGAAAACTATGACTCTATGTGGGCTCCATCAAAGCCCTTTCCCCTTCTTATTGTCTTTCATATCAAGGAAGAAGTATGTAAGCAGAAGATTTGATTGCATGCATAGAAAATAGACCTGAGCACTGTCATGAGGTCTGTGACCCTCTGACACTGACAAGTGAATTTTAAATAAGATGTAAATTGCTCAGTGTTTATGAAGGAACAGTTAAGTACGTTTCATGAAGTGAAACTGAAAGCATTGGTGTGTGAATATGAAGAAATGAAATTCCTCTGAATAGGAAGTCAATATGCACTGATTCCAGATCTCCAGGAAACCGGAAAATGTAGAAATTTCAAGTGGAAAATGATGGATGCGATACTAATTCTCAGTAAATATTACTATAGGTAAGTGCAAAATTAGATAAGAAGTATTTCTAAAGTTACAATCTACTTTCATAATATTTATTTATTCATTCATTATGTTTAAGTATGAAATAAATACATTGAATATTATTTGGGAGTGCATTTTGAAATCTTTTTCTTACTATTGGATAGGAGTAAAACATCCACAAGCTGCCTCCTTAGCTGGTTAGTAGCCTTTGTGTCACTGAAGTAGTATCTGAAGCATATCTTTCTCTGTACTGAACTGTATCTGCATAGACCCCTTCTCACAGTCACCTGAGAGATTGCTTTTGTGCCACACTGGGTCACAAAAAGAGAAAAGGATGAAAGACTGTCATTTCCAGTGGGTCTTCTTACGTGTTACCAAATGCTTGGTAGCAGATACGTGGTTTGTACAAGCAGCAGGACACAGGAATGCAAGCCAGGTAAATAGACCCCAAACTGGTACGTGCCATTCTCTGCACCCTGCTTCTTGCAACACTGAGTTATCAACCCTCTTTGAGCATCCTCCCCCTCAATAAGCAGGTTTCAGAGGGTGCACAAACCCAGTGTTCAATTTCCTGAGATCAAAGCTGTTTATGATGACCACAGGACTGAGGAGTTGTTGGCCAGGACACAAGAAAAAGGCTGAAAACCAGTCTTAAAATTACCATACTACATCTGCTAATAATTTGTGCAACCACTTTTTTTTTGAAGTGGGATCTCTAACTACTCTACCACCCCACTGAACACCATAAAAAAATGAGGGGAATGCAGCTAAAGAAGTTTTCCAGTGTCCTAAGAAAGATCATTCTGGAGAATAAAATTAAAGTAGCAATTATCTTATGAACACGATACAAAACTAAAATGTTTTACTACAAACACAAGGAAAGGTTTTACTTTGTAGAGGAAAAAGAATAGATAGGACACTAAAACAAATTGCAAAATAATATTTTCAATCATTTCATATATGAAGGCTCTGTTCCTAAATGTTATTTCCAGTGACCAGAGTACAGATGCTTTTCTGAACAGAAAGTAATTTCTGCAGTAGTGGAGACACTGGCAATCTTGAATCAAGTTAAATAAGTGGCTTTCACTGTGGGAAGCACTGTAAGTTAATCTGCTCTACATTCACGTGTCTTTCAAAGACCAAACCTAAAAAGGAGAAGAGTGTGTGTGCTGGATTTCACATTACTCACTGTTTGTCTTGAGCTTGCCTGGCTCACTGCTTCTGCTGCCAGCCTGATTAATGGCTTTAACAATGAAGATGTACTTTGTGCCACTCTGTAACCCATGCACGGTGTAGTGGTTTTGTTTGATATTGGGAACAATCATCCAGCTGTCGGCTGAGTTACATAAACCTGCAATTTCAAACCAAGCACATTAGTCATAACATACTAGACATTTTGTAAGAGGGGAACATTTAAAGCACTCCTGAGCATCCAATCACTGATAAAAAATTCGCTTTTCTACCTTTTAAAGTGCTATTTTATTCACTGGGTTGCTACTTAATTCTACTAAGGCATTTCACCAGCCTTCAGCCAAAGTACCTTTTAACTTCTTGCTATATGAAATTGACCATAAAAAAATAGGCATTTAAGAAAAGACTCATTGGAGACATGAGCAATCTGGGAATTTTCATATCGTTACACAAGGAATTCTTTATTGCTGAAAGATCGAGTACTATGGAGATCCTATCAATCTACCTTTTGGATTAATTAACTCAAGCTTCAAAAAACTAACATAAATAGTAATGCTAGGAGGGCTGTGGAACCTTTTCTGACAGACATGCATTCTTTAGGACCTGAAGGAAATCATGGGAAGCCAAACTAGGTAAAAAATGATCACCAGAGCAAGCTTCAGCTTCTACACTCCAGACTTTGCTAGGATATAACTTAACAAGTAAGTTTTATTGATGCAACTCTTTGATTTCTTTCCCATAGTTAAATGTTAGCTGGGGAAGAGCTAATTAATTTTCTATTTAGAAATATACCGTTTGGGATATATTTACTTCCTATCACACAAGTATAACATGTAGGAAATAAATAAAACATAATCTACAAAATCATCTGCAAAATAGAAGGATACTCCATTAATATGAACTGATTCAACTGCATGCATCTTTACTACTGTGACATAAACCATAAGAATTTCAACAAGGCCAAATGTTGGTCCTACAAACCTACAGGCTTGGGGAGGAGTGACTGGAAAGCTGCTTGATGGAAAGGGACCTTGGTGTACTGATGGACTGAATATGAGCCAGCAGTGTGCCCAGGTGGCCAAGAAGGCCAATGGCATCCTGGCTTGTATCAGGAATGGTGTGGTGAGCAGGACTGTGGAAATCATCCTGTCCCTGTACTTGGCATTTGTGAGGCCTCAGCTCGAGTACTGTGTTCAGTTTTGGGCACCTCAGTACAGAAAGGAGATTGAGGTGCTGGAGCAGGTCTAAAGAAGGGCAACAAGGCTTGTGAAGGCCTTGGAGAATATGGCCTACGAGGAGAGACTGAAGGAATTGGGGCTGTTCAGTCTGGGGAAAAGGAGGCTGAGAGGAGACCTCACTGCTCTCTTCCAATATCTGAAAGGTGCTTACAGAGAGAGCGGGGTTGGTCTCTTCTCACTGGTGACAGGTGACAGGATGAGGGGAAATGGCCTGAAGTTGAGCCAGGATAAGTTTAGGTTGGATATCAGGAAACACTTCTGTACAGAAAGGGTTGTTAAGCACTGGAATAGGCTCCGCAAGGAGGTGGTTGAGTCACCATCCCTGGATGTGTTTAAAAACCGTTTGGATGTGGTGCTCAGGGACATGATTTAGTGGAGGGCTGTTACAGTTAGGGTAGTATGGTAAAGTGCAGTTGGACTGGATGATCTTGAAGGCTTTTTTCCAAATTATGATTCTATGGTTCTGTAACCTGAGCTGTTCTATGATTCCATGATTCTTTAACTTTCGTGTCAGTGAGTCACCTGTATTATTCACTGCACATTTTGAACAGCTCCTAGTCTAATGGATCCTCAGTCTGGTAACTCTTTTGTTATAAATGTTGAAATAAATCTAAGTTTACATTAACAAAATACATAGATGTTCACCATCTTTTTTTCTAGCTATACAACTAGAAAAGGTATATGCAAATTAAAGTATATGAATCTGTGTAGATGCATAAGGCTGGAAAACGCAAAGGGAAAAATTCATGACAAACTTTGCCTTGACAGGGCATGGAAAAAGTTGTGGATGCAAATGTGCTATTAAACTAGTTTTCAGCTTTTAATCTGGTTGGTTTTTTTATCAGCAAACCAACAAGAGAATCTTTAAAAAGCCACCAGTACTTTTAGTTCACATTTTAGCCCATCTAAAATCTTTGTGTCATGAAAAAATTAAAAGGCTAACACAAAACTTTAAAGAATACGTGCTGTGATACTGGCTTACAGACTCATCAAAAATTCATTGCCGTAACTAAAAGACTCCTTCCTAATTTGGAATATACTTTTCATAATAAAAGGTCATTAGAAATAGAATTTAAAACCCAGATTTGAAGCAAAAATAATGAAACGTTACTCTCAAAGTTCTCTCATATTATATGACATTGTTGAGATGTAAGCAAGTTATTCATCCGGTTGTGCAAATAAGTAATCAAGGCACAGCTTCAGGGATTCATATCATCTCGTCATGTAATTGAAGGGCTGCAATGTCTAACCTATGTTTTGTAAACTGTGGTGAGCCAGGAATCAGTCCACCTTTCTAGATGTGAACATCCTAAAAATGCTTCTCTTTAAAATGCTAAATGCTAAAAATGCTTTCTCTTTTTGGCCTGAAGGAAAAGGCTTAGGTGAGATCCCTAACTTTAGGTAGCTGAAATAAAGTGAGATGAATCCATCCACCATTGATTTGAAACCCGGAAGTCTGATCTTGAGGTTGAACACACATCTGTGTCTTTGAACTATCTTATTAACAAGCTACAATCAAGTAAGCTTTATCCAGTTTTTCATTTGTTAAGATCAGACCTGGAGGGACAGACGGTATGCAACTTTTCTCTAGGTCCCTCTGTCTCATCAAGAATATCACTTTCTTTGGTGTTAGGTAGCATTGAAATGAACTGCAAGAATGATTTACTGCAACAAAAATATTTACTTGCTGTTGTTTTATTTAAAACAGTTTCCTGTTTTAAAGCGGAAAAAAAATTCCAGTTTATTGCTTATTCTCCAGCCAGTCAATATCCTGAACATATGTAGCCTCCTTGTGTTAACTACAAAGGATTCAAATAGCTTCAAACAGCTGGGTATGAATGGGTTTCCTAAGAGGAAGAGTGGAAATAAAAGCAGCAGTATTTAAATATGGCAAAAAATATCTCAATGACTACTTATCCCAGTAAAAATTTGACACAGATTTTAGAGTAAAGGTATACTCTTTCTGTAACTGAACTACCACATAGATTTTGCACTAAGGCCATTCACCTGGCTCAGTGGTGCTATCACACAATAAATATTAAGCTAAAATAAAGTGAACTTAAACACTTGATTCAGAAAGAAACCAAGATGACTAAGGAAGGAATTCCTAACTTAGATGCTTCTGATGGAGTATGAAATAACATCAGTAAGTCTGTAAATGTGATGAATCATAGAATCATCATAGAATTACAGAATGGCCTGGGTTGAAAAGGACCACACTGACCATCGAGTTTCAATCCCCTGCTCTGTGCAGGGTCGCCAAACACCAGACCAGGCTGACATTCTCCATTCTCTCATCCCAAGTATGCGAACTTACACATACACAATATCCATTATCCTTCAAGTACACAAGAATAAGATATTATATTATTAAAAACCCTAGCCAGTAATTAGATTGCTATGTACATCCATAACCTTAATCATCTTATGCACTCCTACATCTCGCTGCTGAGGCCTGAAGGCAAAATGCTCACAGGCCTAGATTCATCCCACTTGGCAATGAACAAAGAGCAGAGCTCGTGAGTTAGGACTTTATCTACCCTACAATCTCTCCACAGTCAGAAGAGAGAGATGGGAAGCCTCTGTTCAACGTGGCTCATTTGCTAGTGGAAGTCTCTGTTATTTCAAAAGACACAAAACACACTGGATTTCTTTGTCCCTCTTCTCTTAGGCCTCTCAGGCAACTATTGGTGAATGCACACTGTCTAACTTAGTTCCTTTGCTGCTCCAACAAGCTCGGTGCATGCCTCCACAACAGTGGGTCCATGTGCTTCCTGGCTGTGAGCTACTTGGTAACAGGTTTCTAGTTGAACATTGACTCAGGCATTCTGGGAATGAATTTTTGATGATATCAAATGAGAAGTCCACAATTTTTCAGGGTGGGGAATAGTAACTAGTGACAGCCAAATTAAGCTTTTAGGTATGAAAGAATATTTATCACTACACCAAAAGGTTTTCATCTCCTGTTTTGCCCTATCAGAACAGTGCTTCTTTGAATACAAAAGACAATGGCAGAACGATCAGTGAAGTGAAGAGTACAGCCTGCTAACATGGGCATCTGGGGGTAACATTTGCATGCTCAGCTCCCTGCTGCTGGCAGCAGGCTAAGTGAAGCACACATCTTCTCCTCACTGGAGAGTCAGCAAGAGCTAAGGGTTTACTGTTATACCCAGTCTTGATCCAGGTGAAATTCAGGTTTCTTGTTTCACAAACCCTGGGCTTTTTATAGGATTATACAGGCGGTAAAATGATGTATTTTAAAACTGTAAAAATGTAGAGAATTCAAATTACATCCTGGAATGGTGCAGTGAGCACAGTGATGTCTCATACAGGATGTGTGAGTTTTCAAAATAAGTTTCTCAGAATCTGGAGGTAATAATTTGCAAAGCTTTTTCCCTGGTGTTGGTTGTTGATGTGCTTTAAAGAACAGATGGGAAAATTCCCAAGGTGTTAATCCTCCTAAAATTTACACTGGGAGATTTTAATAAAATATATCTTCCTGAAAACTACAAGCACAAAAGTCATGGGAAGGTTATTTAATCTTTTGAGTATTTTAATTACGTTTAAATGCTTTATTTAAATAAATTATTACAAATTCAAATTGGTAAAACAAATACAGTAGGTGAAAGCAACAGATAGCTCTCCACCCCTATCCCACATTCCCATGTGAATGAAAAAACATATGCAGGATTTCTGCAAAACATACAGTGATTTTTTTCTTCTTTCTCCTAGAAATATACTCTTTTTGTATCTTTTTAAGAGGCAGTTTTCTGCCTTGATTTTGTGTCATTTTGTGTCATACTCACTGAAAACCTCAGTAACATTTTGAAAATTGTATGCAAACTGTTTTTAAGAAATTAAAGCTTCCAGAAAGAGACAAAAGATAGATTAAAAAATTGATTGATAAATCACAAACCTTTCAGGTAAGCATGAACTCCAAATTATCTCAGGACAGTTTTGTCAACATACCTTTATCCTATCTCATGGGATAGGTAATCACAAAACACAGGGAATGTTTTGATGCTACACTGCATCCTCAGTAGAGCAAATTTTCCTATTTTGCCGATGTAACTAACATAAATTCAATTTAACAGAAAAGAGAATTATTTACTCTTTTGTGTTTTGGAGAGTCTTACGTGTTTTCCCTAAAGGTGTCTTTGTTACCGATAGTGAAAAGCTGGATGATTAAATTTTAAACCTCCTGCAGAACAGTAAAAAAGCTTCATGATAAAAAAAAAGCCAACTCAAAAAGTACTTGAAAATTTATTGAAATCAGATATTGAAATTATAATGCACATTAACTAGCTAGTGACAAAGTCATTCATAAAGCCTTTACAACATTCAGAGTGCAAGTACTAGATGCCTCTCAGAAAAGCAAATGCGTGAATACAGCTATAAGAACTACTGTGTTAGTAAAAGGCTGCGTGATTTAAAGTTCTATATTGCTCTAATGCACAGAACAGTGCTGCCAAGCACTAATAGCCAAGCAATTTGGCCACATTTGGAAGTAATCTTTCCTGTATGAAATAGGATTCAAAATGAAATACTCCAGTTGGACCTTCTCCACCAAATGTTAACTCTCCAATTTTTCAGTTAATAAAAAAGAATATAGTTGATTATGTTGGATAGAGAATACATTAGAAAAACATAGCATTGCTTGTTTTCGTTACTGAATTCTCAGCAATCTCTGAATGATATATGCCTCTGGTGGGGGAAATTTACTGAGGAGTGGAAAGTGCAGTCAGTCTGGCTCTGTGGTTTTAAGAAATGGATTCCAAAATAACAACTTCCATTAGCACAGTAGGTGGGTTTGTATGCAAAGTGATTCCTATTGTCTCAAGGGAAAAAAAGCTTGTTGGCTTAATACAGTACCATAGCTACTGCCTTGTGACTAATTCATAGCTATAGTAACACAGAACTGAAGATGATCTATGAACCTCTTTACATTAACTACTACAGGGAACATACAATAGCAATGGAAACTTTTGGGGATACGACATAGGAAATTAAAAAATATATGTGCCACAGCATACAAATGCCATACACAGAAAGAAATTCGTGTTAATCTAAACTCTATTTCATTTAAACGACTAATTAAAAGCTATCTTCAGTTCATCAAAACATCAAGATTTCAGTGTAGAGCATGTTAATTCCACTTACAGAGAAAATAGCTTTGTTATTTCACACTACTGAAGTACTTCTCAACATTCTAGGGATGATCTTATATCCTCATGCAGGGCAAAGAAAATAATCCAGATAAGTAAAGAAACAACCAAGCAGTTCTATGAATAAAATCATGTTAGTGGGCAAAGCTCCAGTACCAGTGGAAGTTGGAATGAGCAGTGAGAGTCCTCTTTATTAGGAATTTGGATAGACATTTAGCAGATCTATTAGACTTGAGGAGTCCAATTCTTTCACTGAATGTGTTTGACTCCACATTAAATAATGATAAAGAAAGTCTGACAATATTTAGAAAAACCATCCACTTTTATATGCTTGTATTTAACTTGGATTAAACTACAGCTTGCAATGAAATTGAAACCAGTAGCCAAGATATTTATGTAGGAGCTAGCTGCAGTTAAGAAACAAATAAACATGTCAGCCAATCCTTTCATTTCTTTCTCCTTCATTTCAGCTCTTCACAAAATTTTATAAACGAAGTTTCTTTCCTCTTCAAACTTCTAGTGGCACCATTTTTTTTCAAAATGATACAATTTAAGTTCAGATTGCACACTGAGTAATTCATGCTATAACCCCCAAATTATCATATTGCACCTCTGAAAGAAAACTAATTGATTGTTTTGCAGATCAAAGCCTTCACACACACATGGGAAACCTACAGTTCAGTCTCAAAGTGAAATACCTTGTTATTTATTCACTTTAAAGCAAGGAGTAAAACCTCATATCATAAAGGTGCAGAAATGGCACTTTTCTATTCATGTATAGAAGCAATAGCTGACTTGCATAAAGTCTTCTGGCATAAAGCCATAGACAAAAATAGGTCAGAAACAAGCAATACACTGCATTAAGTCATGGTGTCCTGTCTGCTTAATGGACAGATTAAACAGGGAAGCTTTTATTTCCTTATATATCTGATTGTAATGTGTTCCAAATTACTATTACACTTTTGGTATCTACCTTGCTCAGATCTAGGAGCATGTATTGAATTTTACTTGGTCTTTCCAGCATTCTTAAATTTTACCATTGCCCTAAATTAGGTTGCTTAGTGAAATATTAAACTGAAGTTTAAACAAAACATTAATCAGTTTTTCAATGGTCCACTTTATCTTTCATTCAATCCTGAATACCATTTGTGTTATGCAACCTAAAAATGCTGCTAAAATGCTAGCACTTGAATCCTCAGATATGCTTTCAGATGCCTTGGAAAACTAATTCCAATTTAGCGATGGAGAAAATTAGGTGCTCACAGCAGCAGTGGAGTTAGCACAAGAGTTTGGCTCAATAGTAGAACAGGACAAACAGCATACCATTTTACCACTGGTATGAAGTATGTAAGCATGTCCTTCAAGCCTCACCTTCATCAAAGCATCTCAACAAATTCTGTAATGACAAAATCACTTCCACACTGGGAAGTGCTTATCTAAAGCAAACTTTACCTAGATCAGTGTGTGGTTGAGGTATGTGATTGTAGAGAAAAGCAAATGCCTAAGAAGATGTTAAGTAGCAGGGAAAGCATACAGCAATAATTTCTCACCATACTCTCCCAGGCTCTAGCAGCTTACTGCTCTGGGACTTCCTGAGCCAAGAGGAAGTCTCTAAACTTCATTGTTTTCAGAGGTATTTTTTTTTTAAATCAACAATATTCTGTGATTCACAATTCAAATATGTGTTGAATGAACAAAATCCATCTTTTGATTGATTGATTTCACACTCCTTCATCTTCACAAAGTAACCATACATCAAATTGTTGTATTCCCAATAAATATACAGGGAACAGGAAGAAGTTAAATGATTTCTCCAAAATTATAGTTAGTCAAAAACTGCTATCCACTGAACCCAGAAGTGCTGACTTCCTAGCCAAAGATTAGGCAATCTTGGAGTGTTTTCTCAGAAAAACACGATGACAAAACAAAACAATCCAAGGAATAATGAGCAGATTTGCTCATTCGAGAAACGAAACAGTGCATGTATTTAATAATCATGAGCTATTATAGAAAATACCAAGAAATATTAGGTAACACCATTATAAGTCAAAGTTACCATATTAACTGGTGTTCCACCACTGTTTGCTGCCTTAGCCTTCACTGTACTAAGATCTATGCTCAGCAGCCTTGCAAACAGTCAGAGGGAAGATTTAAGCTGTATTTCTGACATAGGCTCTGTTGTCAAAAGGCATGTCATAGATATAAGGGTGGCTGCAGTGTTAACTAACTAATGGCCAGTTCAATACACTCTTCCAAGAGTGTGACTAATCTAGACAGCAGAACTGAGTCTTCATCCCTGCAACAAAAGCTTGATGACACAAGAGACAAATCCTGTCAGTGAGAACTATAATTATGATGTTGGGAATATTGCTTTGGATTTAAAATTTTAACTTTACGTCTTCCTAGGAAGTTTTTCTTTTGTTCTTGCCATACGAATACCTTTATATTTAAAGGAATGCAGTTTGCAGAGAAATGACAAGGAAATAGAATCAGAAATGAGAAGGTTTCCACTTACTGACAACGTTAGCTTGTCCAGTGAAGATAGTGTACTGAAGCTCGTAAGAGACCACGCTGAACTCATCATCTGATGTCCAGTGGACAGTAATAGTATCATAAGAAGCTGTACAGAGCTCTTCTCGAATGGTGGGAGGGTTGGGAGCTGTGAGATACAACAGAAAAGGCTTACCAACAAAATCAATAAAGTATTTCCATCTCACCTCATATTAGGGCATGCATCTGACATATAAATTTGCAGCAATACCATCCAACAATTTTTTCAAACCTTTTACTAATTCCAATAACGACTTAAATTGTTAATAAACTGTTGCTAAGGAATTCTTACTATCCATATAGCCATCTAAGAACTCATTTGAAAACACAAAAACATCTTGTATTGAACTAATTTTAAGATGCCATAGCAAAAATTATATGATGATGGTCACAGTAAACTGTTACTGAGTGTGCACAATTAATATGTTTGTTTTACTAGGTTTGTTCCTGATCATCAAACTAAAATTATCAAAGTTTAATTGATGTAAATATCAATAGGGAGAGTTAACAATCTTCATTGTTGACTTGAAAGCAGTGTTTGCTTGGCTTATCTTAACAGAGATTAGCTTAAGTGGTATTTAAGAAATAGAAATCTGGGAAAGACTCCATTTTTTCACACTCAGTCTTCTCTCCATGTCTGTTTTTAGTTATTTATTAACTATCCCTTTTAATATAGATGCAAATGATTTCTGTTGGCTATACATTCACTATTTTTCAGTTTTATTCAAAAGTTCTTATCATAGCATCATGGCTATATAACTGCTACAGTTAAAATTCAATATCATTGCTAATTAAATAATTATAGAAACACATTTTAATAGAGTTGTCCCTCCATTTCATCTTTTTAAATCAACAAATAAGTTTGCTACAGTTTCTCTGTGTAGGAAACTCTGCAGTCTTCTTCCACATCAATGCACGGGTTTGATTTAAAGATCTGTTTCAAGACTAAAACTTGAAGCAAACCTCGTAGGTAAAAACTTTCCTGGTTTGCTCTTTCTATAAAGCCAAGCACCTATGTAAGAAAGAAATGAGTCTTTCTTTGGGCCTTCCTGCCTGCTTGTCTCAGTGGGAGCCTAATTCCTAATCATCTTCCCTATATGCCATCATCACGCAAAAAAATAATTCTTGCGCTTAATAGCATTCCTCCCAGCTGTCACAGAGTGAGGAAGGAGGGCGCTCAAGCTGAAACAATCACAGTATGTCTGAATTAAAGGAAAAGGAAGGCAACTCTGAATGGTATTTTTGCTGTCAGTTCTTTAACTTCTGTTAACTGCCAATAATGGCCTCAAAAGAAAGTCAACCTGAAGGAATTCCTCCTTTTCTTTTGCAGCAACTTATTTTACCGAGATACCTATTTTGCTTTCCATTAAGAATTTTTATAGCTCATATTCCTGGTTTACTGATGTATGTTCCCAAGGATTAAAGTATAGATGCATTTGCAAGCAGCCTCTTTCAAGCAAAGGGCATAAGGAACTGTTCAAATGCATTTCATGATATGACTGTGATTTGTGATGCTCTAAATCTTGTAGCATGGAAGCTTACAAGTGACTTTTCTTTTCTCAGCAGAGGAACCCTTGAGACAGATGGATATTAATAAAGAAAGAGAAAGAAATGAACTAAAATAAGAACAGTCATCTCAGGAGGGGGATATCAACAGAAGGAGGATTTCTTTGAAAACCAAATGTTAGTAATGAACTAAAGTCTTCTCCAATCTTCTCCTAAGCCTAACAGAACAAAACTATATTTGCAAATGCACCTGTTATTACTACAATATAGATAATAAATATTAACTTAGTGGAAAGCAACAATTGCCAACTGCTAAATGAATTGTAAACTGCATTTCAGTAGTATCTAAATCTCTCTACTCCTTTGAAAATGACAGCCTTGATACTTTCTTTATACGCACACCTGGTTGGCCTTACTGAAGACTGGAGATTGATAGGTCTTCACATAACGAGAAGGACAAGAAATAAAAAAGAACTGAACAAGACATCTTTTCTCTTTTTTTTTTGATTAATCCACACACAATTGAGACCACACTGCATGAAACTCGGCTCTTCAACAACACTCATTTAATAAACTGCTCAGAATAAAACAAAACACACTTTCCCTGCAGACTGACAGGGAAATCTGCATGTAAACAGTAGTTTTAAACTTTCAAAATAATGTAGAAGTCAGATTATAAAATACAATATCCCACAAGACATCCGCCTCTGAAGGGTGTGAGTTCATAAAGTGATTGGAGAGATTGGCCTTTAATCACTTATCCTCACCATTACATTTACCAGTACTGCTGCAGTGCTTGGTTGCCATCAGGGAAGCTCAACAGAGTTCAGAACAACCTCAAGACACCCGCATCTTTCCCATGGCCCTGAGTAGGGCACACTCCATCACTGCCCAGGAATCGGGATTCCAGTACAGCAGAGCACAGCAAAGGAAAAGAAATCCTAATCAGTTCCGCCCAGTCACAGTGTTGCAAGACATACAGCCTCTTAATCCACTTCAGAAGCAGTGATCATCCAAGAGCACTTCCAGCCCCAGGTTGAATGTGGCTATGGGTCCAGTGAATGACAACCCTGCCCACAGCAGGGGGTTGAAACTAGATGATCTTTGAGGTCCTTTTCAACCCAGGCCATTCTACAATTCTATGATTTTAGGGCAAGAATGCAGTACTGACTCACAGTCATAACAAAACTGAAGCTTGACAGCTGATGTTCTTAATACCATTGGACATTTGCAGCCTCCTGTCTGCAAACTGCCATCTGATGCCAGGGAGAGTTTAAAAAAAAACAACATGTGAAACAGCTATTGAACACCCCACATTTACAGTCTTGAGTAGTAAGGAAACCTGAAATCAGCAGCAGCAGACTTTGCAAGGCACAAAGAAAATTACAGCAGTTTAAAAAACTGCTTCCAAACATCTTTAATTCTTCTTGGTCATAGCATGGAAGTCTCCATAAAAGAACCAGGGCAGACATCTGGCTGTCTGTCCAGTCACCGCTTCAGTCACTCTGACTTTCATACACTTGCATTTATGAATCAACACTCCCAGGAATGAAAGCTATTGCCAAAGGCTGCTTTAGTCCATTTGTTGACTTCAACTCAAAAATGCACAGACATAATAGTTATTTAATAATAGACTATTTAAATAGTCAGGAATCATGTCTGAGGTGCCTGAAAGGTAATCACTAACCTTAGCAAAGCAGTTCTTTAAATTTACTCCTAGAAATAATAGAATGGTTATAGAATACAGAATGGTTTAAAGATCACCTGGTCTTAATCCACCTGCAATGTGCAGAGACACCTTCATCTAGAGCAGGTTGCTCTGACAAAAGGAATATTAATATCGCTGGATATGGAGGTGAGGAAGCTGCTCTGAATCTCTCAGCTGTTAATTACTGCCTCCTTGATATATCATGATACCAGACTGAAACAATGTGAAAAATAACTTGAAAGGCACAGTCACATCACATTGAATGTACTACTAACATGCCAGACATGAACTGGCAGCTAGAACTCAGCCAAACCACCATGTATGTGTGGTCTTTGGGAGGGGAACTTTGGGGGATCTTTGGGGACTGGAACTATGAACAACTGAATGGAAAGAGATTATAACCAAAAGATGGGACTGAGTTGGTTGAAGAATGGCTTTACTCTTTTACTATTAAAAGTTAGAAGGAAGGACAAGTTGCATGGGTTTCAAGAATGAAACTGTTTACATGTGAAAAAAATCCTGGCACACACCAGAAAACGCATACTTGTTAGTGCAGTTTTAACTAAAGTGATGGATGAAGAATGTATCGTTTCAGATGAGATTTCTGAAGCAGGGAAAGTGCAAGATGAAAAGATAGATGTTGCTGCAACTGATTTCACAGCATTATAACGTAAGAAAAGTATTTCTGATTCACAATGGATAAAAATGTTCCTACCTCAACAACACTATGCAGTGAATTTGCAAGTCACAGGCACTGGTATCTAGCTAGACACATGTTAAGGAAAAAATGAGTTCCAGATGAAAAGCCTGAGCAACTGGCAAGATAGAATACTTTCAAAAGACATTCAGACTACAAATACCAAGGAAGAAACAGTCAGAGGAAGATTAAGGGTATTGTTTTACTATGCTGAGCTTGACATCTCAATGTTGAGCTGGCAACTTTCAGAGAGAGCAGAGATTTTTATTTGGATAGCAGAAGCTTTGGAATGACTGAAAGAAATAGCCTAGGAAGAAAGGATTCAAGTTTCAATGTGCCACACAGAAAATGGCTTGGGAAGATGGAAGATGAAGAAGATCTGATGTATAGCACGCTGGGGAAGAAACAAAGAAAATCTCCAGAAGATACCTGTGGTCAACTGCTTTGAAAGCAACTGACGGCAGAGAGAATGAGGTTGGAATTCAAGCTTTGACATTTTGTTCAGAAGCAGTACAGATGTTAGACGTAATGTAGGCATCCACTCCTAATGGGCAACAAAGATGTATTGCTAGGACTTGCAATGGTCTTTATTTCACCTAACTGAAACATGATAAAGGTAAAGCCCAATTCACTCTGTCACTCAGATTTCAATGTAAAAATCTACAAAGATTGTATTCATCAATATGAAAGGAGAAAATAACACAAACGTTCCTCTAGCATTTCTGAATAATAATAGAGAAGAATCAAGTGCATTTGACTTTCAGGGTTTTATATATACACGCATACACATATGCATTACATATACATAGATAATGCATTACACATAGATGCATTTACATAAATATTTCTTAAGTCTGAATCAGTCACACTTTATGTTCAGTTAATTCAAGCATGTTTTGGAATTTGGCATTGCAACCAGATGATATTCATTAATATGAAGAAAAATAGTAAAATATAGGGCCAGCTAAAAATGTTTTTCAGCATCAAAGGCAAGGATGAAAACGGTAGATTAGTGCAAAGCAGCTTAACAGCTTGATATACTGCAATATATATATTCCTCCTAGACTGGATTTTGATACATTTTTCAAGACTGTGAATGAGGTAGGAAGAAGGCACAGAAGGAGCACAGCCAGTATGATGGGTCGCAAAAGGAATCCTTGTGGCACTGACTGAATACTGCAGCAAGATTGCCCTTCATTTTGGAACATACACATCCTTCATTTTCTGCACTGCACAGCAATTAGACTGGTGATATTGACATGTGATGTGCGAAGAGATGAAGACTGGGGGATGGGGGAACAGACTGCTAAATGCATTTCGTCTCAAATACCTTCAAGTATCAAAACCATAATTATCTACTTTTGAATGAGACTTTCCAGCCTTTGTTTGGAGCCAATTAGGAGAAATAGGCACCTCCAGAATAGTCAGTTGTGTGGTATACCTGACTCAAAATGAGGTGGATTTTCCTCTTCTCTGACAATAAACAATTTGAGGCCAATTATTCTACAGGAGATTTTTAGGTTCGTGCAAATGAGTCTGGCATTTTTGTTAACCTTTCCTTTCATTTTCTTGTCTTTTTACAACCTTAGGGTGAGCCCTCAATTTTGGTGCAAAACTTCAACAGACATTGGGGGGGAGAGGCAATGAAGGGAAAGCCAGACATCTTAACATTTAACCGGTAGCAACTGGACAAAAAAAAAAAAAAAAAAAAAAAAGTAGCAAGTAACTTTCACCAGATTTTTGAGTATTATTTACTTGAGTATCCTTCATACACTGACTGCATTCACAAGTTACACAGTGGTAGAGAAATTTCTCGCAGAAAAACATTGCTCATTCAGATATGGTAAGATCTCCACAGATCTACTCTGCTACAACTCTGTGCACGCAGACAGCCTTGTTTCTCTTAGAAGTCATTTAATCATTTATTCTGCTTTAGATAAGCCAGAAATGAGCCCTCTGCATCTCAAAAGATTCCATGTTTGGCCACGAGGAGACTCCATGCTCCTGCATTCTTCTGAAATAGCAAGAGTACATTTCCTGCAATCTGGGCAAAGAGAATGGGCCCACGTAGAGTTTTCAAGTGCTTTTCTAACAGTGCTTTTTGTTTTTCCTTGCAAATTGTGACTATTAACAGAAGATTCTTAAAGACGTTGCAAAATGAAAACCCACGCCCTGTCTCCTCTGTTTTCAATTGAAATGGAATGAATTGTTCTAATTCTGGCACTGAAATTAAAACATCCTAAATTACAGCAATTTGTTTCTCTTTGTGAGTCATTATATACTCTGAGACTGCACATGACTCAGGCCATCAATAAGAATTCAATCCTGCAGGAGTCAACAGACCAAAGCTCTCAGCTAACTCTGCAGAGCAAACTGCATACTCCCCAGCTCCAAACATAGCATGGTTCTCCGGTTATGTGATGGAGAAGTTGACAGTTGCTACAAGAAAACATTTGCCACTACTAAGCCCTCCATGCTGATAGCTTGAATAGCTTCTGGTTGCCCAGGACATCTGCCAGACTGCAATCTGCTGCAGCGAGAAGGCAGCCCTAAGGGATAGTGTAATTCTTGGCACATCTGCCTCCTGGGAAATAGCACTGGGTCCCTGCTCCCCTTCCTCTGACTTGGGGCTGTGATTTCGGCCACTCCAGGCTGAGCTCCAGCTGTTCATTTATTTCACTCTGCTGCTGTGACTTTTAACCATTTCTTACACTTCTACACTTATCCACATCCTGGTGGGGAGCAGTGAAAAGAATGACGATGACAGAAATACATCCCTTGTGGCTACCTGGGGCTGCTTGGGGTAAAATGTAAAGGTTTAAATGGGAGAGCAATGAAGAAAATCCTATCACTACTGCAGAGTGTTTTTTTTAATGAGAAATACATTAGTATATTGAGAAGAAAATTACCTGTAAGATAATCAAGGCATTCCAACAATTTCTTCTCCCTGGTAAAATCAAGTGCGAAAGTATCAAAAGTATCGTTGAGATTAATTTCAGGAATTAGAACCTGGGAGGATGCAGTTGCCATGGAAACCCTGTAATGAAAAGAAAAGACCTTTTAGCACATCCAAAGACACAATAGCTTCTACAACAAAGTAGATCTAATCATCACGATCACTATGAATTCTCCAAAAGCTTGACAAATATTTTACAAGTATTTTATTTATACCGGCTGTCAGGAGCTTCTCCTGCCACTTTTACTTTTGGAAGAAAAGTCTCCAGGAAACATCTCTTGGTACTTAGCTTTTGTCTAATGTGCAGCATTAGATAAGTTTTTAATAAAATACAGACTGAGCAACGATATACTTATAACTGTTCCTGCCAGTCACCTCTGAATCAAAGTAGCACTAGCACAATTTTTATCTATGTTCTAAGCAGTTCTGACATATGCTGCATCTCTTCCAACCCCCTTTTTTCCTAGGCAGTTTCTTGCTACAGGCATTCCTTCACAGTGCTGTCTCAAGGGCTTGCTGCAGATCACCACACCTCCTCAGCTGTTTAGCACAGCAGACTGCTGTTAAATTCAAAAAGCACAGGGGAAGATAAAACCAATAGATGTCAGCACAGTTTATTTTGAAAAGCTTTTCTCTGCAAAGCATGTGTGCATACTTCCTTCAAACTAAAGGGTTTCCTTGCCTACCTCATTTCAGGAGCTACATCCACTTTTTGTTTGTCCACCAGCAAGAACGTTAAAAAATGAACTTTCAGAAGAAAGCTGCCAACAGGATCTATTTTTTGGATCCTCCAACTTGCCATCTTAAAACATTTGTTACTGCATAGCTAGATACTGGAAACGCATACAGAAAACTCAGGAGAGAATTCTGCAAGGTTATTAAACTTTGTGTTACACAACAGAAAATTGTTTTGGTTTGGAAGTGAACACAAAACCATGAGCACAATATATGTCCCTTATCTGTCAGTCACAAGGTGTCAGGTCAAAATGTTTTGATCTCTTCAATTAACACTGTTGCAAATTGGAGCATTTCTCTGTAGATGAGACTGAAGTAGTTCACCTGCAGTTGCAGTTGTGCTGTTGTGCTTTTAGATCTAGCAGAGAAACAAGACACATGCTTCTTGTAGGGCCATACATTTCTTGTAGGGCCATACATTTCTTGTAGGGCAGACTCAGCCTGACTCACATCTCCAAAAAATCAGCAATAACCTTACTAAGAAACCAGCAAGCAGGTATGTAATGTGAGAAGTTTCTCTGAAGAAGACCTTATCATCAAGCTCTTTTGGTACAATAAAGAGAATGCACAGTGATTAAGAGTGTTAAAGTCAATTTTTGATGGTTCACCATTTCAAAGACCATTTTAGATTCAGAGAAATGAATTTTTTCTTGTACTTTCTATTTGTTTCATCTGACACTGTACTTGGTTGGAGAGGGGTTTTCTAGGATAAATCCAGTTCACCCATTATAAATAACCCATTACATAAGTCACTGTAGTGTGTATGATGCCTTTGCTATCCATAGTTACCTATTGTGCTTACAAAAGAGAATATTATACTACAATTACTTTGAAACATATGATAAAATGTAACAAGCATGGTTTCAGAAGACTGTTTCAGCTCTAGGAGTTCAGGACTCCGGTGAGAGTAGTCTGAGTGCAAATAAAGCGTTGCTCACCACATATGACCTAGGAAAATTACTTAGGAATTTTTTTTTTTATTTTTTTTTTTTTTAAAAAAAAAACTCTTTTTCTACTTGTAATTTGTCTGCAAGCACCTACTGGTTTTCCCCCCGTTCTTATTCATTGCTTTAATGATTTTTTGTTTTGCAAGACGTTAACAGCCATCTCATTACAGATAAACAATCTGTGATAGCCAAGAACTAGATTTGATTGGACACATATGTCAGCTGGTCTCATTCCTGTTCTCTAAGCATCACTCCTGTGACTCCTGTATAATCAATGGATATTAAAAAGTTATAATCACAAGAGAGTTAGGCAAAATAGACTAGGACAATAAGGAGAATAAATGGAAGGTTTACCTACAGAAAGCACCAGAAGAAGGGATCTCCAGAAGAAATCCTTCCCTGCTCGTAGCCAGCTCTTAAATAGTTTTAGGAGGGGGTGGAGCCTGGCTCCACCCCTTCCAGCAGCACAGGTGAATTGCCTTCAGCTGTGCTCCTCTGGCTGAATCATGGCTCGCCTCAGGTGATCAATCAGAGGTTCAGGCCGTGGCAGAGGTTCAGCAGTTCCCATATGGACTCTATTTATGATGCAAGTGTTCATTTCCACAAGTTCAAAATCGAGCTTTTCTGAATGTCCTCTGGTAGTCTGTTAGAAAGTTTTGTATCTCCCTACTGCTTATTCCACTGAATACTGAATAAATGCCCTACTCTCTCCTTCGGCATTTTCCTCACAGCACTCATGTATATTCTGCAGTAGTTTTTTTTTCAGCTTCACCCGGGAAAAATCAGTAGCACAATAAATCATAGTGATAGAACACAAAATAGGATCCAAGTCTGACAGATCAAATTGAATCCACTGTCTTGCCTTGCCCTTCTCAGCAAATGAACTTGTAATGGGAAACCCAGTGTTCCTGGTTTGTATATAAATTGATTAAAACAGCTTTGGTGAAAATAGATATTCCAGGAATCTGCATACAGTGCTCTAGAGTAATTGACTGGCTTGAAAGCAAGGAATGTCATGATCTGAACCAGGTCAAAATTGGCTGGACATTGTGAAGGTACAATGTGAACTCAAGATATTTTTTTTAAAAAAAGCAAAATTGAAAAGCTGAATGAATTAAGATGCTTCGTATTGTTGTCTTAATCACTGTCACAGGTACATGCTCCTTCTTTTTGTTTCTTTTGCTAATGGCTAAACAGCAGATAATTCCAAGTGAATTTAATCAGAAATCACTGTTGACATTCAGTGGGAATGTTTTAGCCTTCACAGCATATGCCCTGAAACTAGACTGAATTTTTTGACAGGACAGGTTCCTGAAAACACTAATTCCCTTGTCTTCGATATATCTGAAAAAGAGCAAGGATGCTAGAAGTAGCAGAAATTCTCTGCACCCAGGAACCCAGAACAGTAGCCTCCATAACTTCCAGACATTCAAGCTGTTGAACCCTTAAATATTTGAGTGGGCTACCTGAGATGTACATCACATGTTCTCAAAGCTACACAGTTTCATAGAATCAGAAAATAATGTCCTGAATTGGAAAGGACCCATAAGGGTCATCAGGCCCAACTCCTAGTTTTGTTACCTTGCTCCTTGCTGTTTTGTAAGACCATGTCAAATTTCTCCTAAGGGAACACACTTGCTCCCATATTTCTTTCTGAATCTATGAACTTTTCTAACTGTTCTAATACTTATTTCACTCCCTTTCTTGACTACTTCTCTTTTCAAAGGGATGTTTTGATTTAGCATTACAGCAAGGTCTTTCTTCGTCTGGTACAGCACAAAGTGGCGTTACTGGGGAACGCAGCAACTCATCCTTCCTTCTTTGACCACATTATCACAGTAGTGGGACAAAGCAACACAGTCACCTAACTGCCTGAAATTGAGGTTCTCCTGTTTATTGAGAGGAACATATTTACCTTTCGGTGATGTTTTTAGCAGTTTGTAGGAAGCGAGCGTGATCATTCTCCTTCAGCGACTGCTCAGCCTGAGAGATGAGGGACGTCGAGCGCTCAATGCACTGTTTGCAGTTTGCAATCTGCTGAGCCAGTTTTCTCAACCTCACCACCTTGTGCGGAAACATAAGAAAGCAGTCACTTGTCTAAGGTCACAAATCACTATTACATTTGCACTTTTGAGGCAGAAGTGACATGGAAAGGGGGACCCAAGACAAATGGCCTCCCTGACAAGAGCTTCTTTCACACACAGTTTGATGGCGACTGCCTTCCACTAGCCACAGAACATTTTAAATCAGGGGACAGGCACAGCCTTCATGCCTCAAAATTTTCCACGTGGAAAACAACAGAGGAGAGCCAAAACAAGCACAGCTGGCTTTCCTTCCAACAGAAGAAACGTCATTTCCTGGTACTTTCTGCTTATATGATAACTAAAGGGTATTTAGATAACCATTTTCCTGAAGTGAAGAGATCAGTCTCAACGGCAGCTTACAGATGGCATACTTTTTTCCATGTTACTGAGGTAAATTTCATTAAAAAATCATCCGAAAATAAAATTTGAGAAAAAAGGATCGTTAATTTCTACCAACAATACGTCTGCCATTTTCATTACAAGCTCTTAGTCAAACAAGGTGGTTTTTGGGGGGTATTTTTAACAGGACAAAAGCACAGTAGTACTGAAGAGATTATTATTATTACTGAAAACATATGTGCTGGAGATAAACACAGTAGATGTGACTGTAATCACTAGCTGAAAGGTTAGGGAGGGGCACAGTCAATTCCCCATTTAAAGACAATGTTGGCTAACAAAATTAATAGTTCCTGAAAGGTCTGGGAGTCCTTCCCGTTGCTATCACACCAGGATTGCTGCTACTTCATAGTTTGAACAGGAGTAAGGAAAAGGAAGGAAATGAAATAATCTGAAGTTTAGAAAGGCATTAGGACTCAGTTACCAGAAAAAAAATGAGGAAACTAATAAGTATGTGCATTAGCAAAAAAAGTGCAAACTTATAATCATGACAGAGTTCTAAATCTTGGGAATTATGGCATAAACTTTGAAGCTGTTGAATGTAATTTCACATATAATTGTGACAGGAGTTATGACTTTCTAAGCAGAGATGAATGTATCTTAGTGCTCCTACATGACAATTAAAATCTGCTGGAAAAAACCATCTTTTGGAAAACTTTCAAAAAGAAATCACTGTCTAAACAATTTGTGTTCTGTAACATTGGTGTTTCTTTTAAGGGTAGAAGAAATAAAGATAAAAATGCAGGAAAAGCATACAGATTTTGAGATTGCCACTGATGTGATCAGGCTTTCTCCTCACAGTTCAAAGTGTTCAAGCACCCAATGCCTTGGAAACCCTTGCCTGAGTTCCCTCCAGTTTGTTCCAATGTCTTTCTGTGTTGGGACTCCAAACCTGCACACACTAACTAGATGGGGCTATTAAAGTGCTGAGCAAGGCAGAGAATCTCTTCCACTGATTTATGATTTACTGGTTGCGCTTTGTTGATATGGCTGGTGTTGGTGATTTTATTACTCTTGACTTATGTTTAGAGTGTTACACATCTAGATGTACAGTTACACTGAGGAAGACTCAATAATTGAAGTACTTTCACAATTACTTATTTGAATAAGGGAACAGTATTTAGATCTCAGCTTTTCATAAATACACTGAGAGGTGGAGATAGATATCGGGAATGGGAATGGTTCAACTGATTGTTCCAAGGATAAGAAAATACTTTTTCTAATTGTGTATTTAAGCAGAGACCACAATTTGGCTACACCAGTCTAACCAGAGAAAGATACACTGCAGTAATTGGTCACCTCTTCATTTAAGTATTAATTAAAAAAAAAAAAAAAAGAATGTATGAACTGATACAAATGTTACCTTGTGAACTTTTAGCATTTAGAGGACATGCCATGAGTTTCAAGGTCTACATATAAACAATTTTTTTGTTGTTTACTTGATTTTTCTTTAAAACTTAAAAAGACAACTGGTCATAAACATCTAAAGGAAGAGTGTCCCCTCCCTCTGTCCATAGTGGCAGGAATGACATCTGCACTAAAATTATCTTCTCTATTTAAGTGTTCTTCCTGCTAAGCACTCAGTCAGGTTTTATAGGTTTTAGGTGATAAGTGAGATTAGCAAAGGAGCTGCACTCCATTGTAAGACTGGTATGTCTGAATGTGCAGCCCTGCAGTCTTAGCTGGAACTATATTTGAGTATTTCCATCGTTGTAGCCTTCACTATCATTTCCAAGAAAAATCTGCCATTCTTTCCCTTCCAGAAAGACTACAGAGAGAAGTCACTGCTTGCTTTAAAAGAAGGTACCTGGAACTGAATTTCTGTGGTTTTTCAGATTTTCTGGCCATTAGGGAGCTCCCTGGACATGTAATCCTTAGCAAAGTTTCATGACTGTTAAGGTATTTACGTAATTACTCAGAAAAGACTAGCCTGATTCTCACGTTAAGAGCAGATTAAGAACTAATCTTAATTGTCCATCTAGCTCAGCATCTCGTTTAAAAAGGCCAGTAGTGGAGGCACCATCTAGGACCGTCTAGGAAATAACACATTCTCAGAGGACTGACTCAGCCAGCAGCAATTTGTGGCTCATGGATGTCCTGAGCCTGAAGTGGCATTGCAGCATTTAATTTTGCAGTTTTGTTATTGTTATTGCTGTTTTTGTTCTCTGACTTTTCTTCAGTTTGTTTTTCTTTCATGAGTTAGTCTATAAGACTCTTGACTCCATGAATCTTTCACCATCTACAGCATTCTGAGGAAACACATTCCAGACCTAAACTGGTCTTCCATTGGTACCACTTTTTGATTAAACAAAGTAGAACAAGGAATGGGGTTATATTCTGATATCAGCAATATTCACATACATTTGGACATCAGAATACATGTTCACAAGCAATCAATTTTTAAAAAGTAACTAATGTAGCATAAATCCAAAATAAGGGAAAGACTTCTACTTCATTGAATGCACAGCTGGTCTCAATACATAGGGGAACACAGTTGAAACAATAATTCAAAAGGCCATCATTTCCATGTAGTAGGGAATTATATTTTGTTAACAGCACGGGGAAATTCAGGTTCTGTCACACAATGTAGAGGACCCACAGTTTCAAACATGTTTAAGTCAGCCCTTGCCTACAGGCTTTTCATTTCAAGTTAATTGGAATAGCTTGACAGCTGAATGAACCATTTAACCTGCTCTTGACTTTGTTCCTTTCCTGAGTCTTTCCCACACAAGAAGAGTTTATATTTGACTTGGTTATTTTAGCAGTTAAAGAGTAAACACCATGTACCAAGCAAATAAGAATGTTAATTCGACTCTAATATGGTTCTGAGTTAACAGGTAGCTAGCTCAATGTGTTGAAACTTGAATATCAGAGATTCTATTGCTCAGTATGTTTGCCATGAATAATCATCATAACTCAGCAATTAGAAATGTGTAGCAAATACTGTGGCACTTTGTGAAAGTGAAAATTTTGGAGATAGGCTGTTAGGCATATAGCAGAGGGAAGGAAGCATTTTATTATTATTTACCGACAGTGATATCATTTCAATGTTTATCCTTAAAAATTACAATTGTGTGTAGAAAGAGAAATGCTAAATAAAGTGTTTAAGTCTGACATCCTAACCTTAGCTGATTTCTTTCCTCTTTACATAAAAAATAATGGCCCAGGACTACAGAGGGAGACTTACAAATTTTTGAGTACCTGAAGTCAAAAAGCTGTAAGCATAAAGAAGTAATGTTGTTTCCGTGATATAAAGAAGAAAAGCTGTTACCTTTCCTTCCTTGATTTTGGTTCCAATTATTTGTCGTCTCTGTTGTATTATTTCAATAAGCTGGTCACATTCTTCCATCAGCTTCGTTTCTTGGCGAGATGCGTTCACCTACAAAGTAAACCATGTTGATCTTATTTCTAATTCAAGTGAGAAAAGCCTGTTCCTCTGATGACAGAGTGATGTCCTTTATGGCCGACAGTTGTTAGACATGAAAGCTCCTCAGGAGGTGGAAAACAAATCACAGACTGAAGAATTAAATAGGACTGCATGAATATTCATGCACGTAAGAGTACAAGTACTGGATGACACGTAACTCTAGTACAGTATCCCGCCTCCATTAGCTGCTAATGCCAGCATCTGCTAGCAACACATCTTAAGAAAGCCAAGCATGTTTGGTGCTTCCCAAGAATACTGCCTCATACTCTCACCAATTTCAGCCCAGAATCATCTTGAACTTGATTTGCTGAATTTAGCATTTGAAAACATAATTACTTTCAGCGTCCATGTAGTCTGTGAAAGATTCAAGTAACCAGAGATCCAAGTGACATTACTTAGTCATGTGTATGGAATGTCTTCTTTATCATTGCTAATTTGATGATAAATCAGAATATCGTAACTGTGCTGATGCAGACATAATATGAGCTGGTGAAACTGCTGTTAGCACCAAAAAAAGCAACAAAGAATACTAGTTTTCTGTGGAAAATGTTGACTTTCTGTCAAAAAATAAGCAAACTTGAAATAGAAAAGTTTTGTTTTTCAGATGAAAATGCTTTGTTTCTGAATGAGACTGATTTCTTTCAATGGAAAGTTAACATTTTGTATGACAAGCAAAATGTACCTCCCCACCAGCAGTAGTACATATAGCTTAAATAAGCAGCTTAAGGAGAAATAAAAAAGGCGAAAAGTCCTAATCATATCTACAATGGAGAAAAAATAGGAGTGATTTCAGAATTGAGCTTCCATACTCACTTTGCAAAGAGAGTAAAGCAGCCCCCTGTCCTGGCCAGTTTCTCCTAGAACTACACTAATCACCTTTTCCATTGCACTAGTAGAGCTAGTGGTGAACCAGAACAGGGAACAGTTCCAGGTGAAAACTAACTCTATTTCCCCTCCTTGGTTATTTTTTTTCAGTCCAATCAACACTTTGATCTGTCTCAGCTTTCTTCTTTTTTCTTCCAACAATGTTTTTAAACATGCATTTACCTGTAAGCATATTACAGAGCTCATTAAGATTAAGCAAATGCCTACGTGTCTAAGTTTGGGCGAGGACCAATTTTATAAATACCTTCTAATATATAACACATTGTGTCCTCTGGGCAAAAAGGGGACTTGTTTACAAAGACCTGCTTTCATTAAGAATTTGGATTATCTTCCTCAAATCTTTATAAAGTTAAAATTTAGTTGCATATTTCATTGGTTTAAATATTAATTATGCTGTCAGAGTTAAAGAGAAAATAAATTCATTTCTGGAAGGGAATAGATGGTACTGAAAATTCTGAAGAATGCTGTGCGTAGCAGGTGAAGAAGTAGAAACCATGCAGTTTTAGGGTGCCTATTTATTTACTCACAACAGCAATGTCTTCCATCTGGCTTCCCGTTAGAGTCCATGAGTAGAGACAGACCATGGAACAGCTAACCCAAAGCCTCTGACAGTGCACACATCTCTCCACTGATGGCTTACGGAGAATCCAGAAATAATCAACCAAAATATCAGCCTCACTGAAGAGCCAAAATTGGGTTGTGTAAAAGTTGCCCTTCCAGCTCTACCATTTATCATCATCCCACCAGACCAGCTGTGTAACACCTGGTCAAGCACTGTACTTTGGTGTGAACTTGTGCAGAGCTGTTTTCAACAATGTGTCCAAAACAAAATTCTCCCCTGCACCTATTTCACCCATTTTATTAGTGGACTGAAATTCCACCAAGGTGGTGAATCTCAAATGGGCTCAGTCGAGGGGCAACGATCCCATTCACTACACACGGATACAACTCTTTTTACTTCAATAACAAGGTTTGTTCATGCTTGTGCTGACTTTGGCATTGAATTACTGTAACATTTCACAGGATTTTTGAGTAGCTTCCACTCAAAGTGTTACTTCTATCACGACTTATATCATGAGTGTGTTTTGTATGGTAGACCTCAGTAGTATTTGGGGTGACTTTCATGGTAGAGAGAGTTCAGAAAGGTTAAGTCAGCAGTGTTTCATTAATGCCCAGATGGTTTAAAAAATAAAGTACTAATTAAATTTTAAATTAAGAAACTCTAGACTAAGAAAAATGAAATGCTTGGAAGAAAACTTTGAATTTCTTACACACTGTCTGCAGACTTCTCTTTTTCCTTTGAAATCTGGAAAGCGTACTCATTTATAAACTTCATTTGAAGACATTTCCAATGTTATAGTTTGCATGAGCTTATTAAAACTGGAAGGAATATTTCCAAAACTATTTTATATGTCTGAGCCTTACATGAAAAAAGAAAACAACACTTAATTTGGGGGCTTTTCTCAAGCTGAAATACTCCTTAATCAAATTTTCAGCCTAGAAAGCCTCTGAATCAGTAATAACTTCATAGTTGAGCACATGCCTAATTTTAAGTGCAGCATATTACCAATGGCCCTAAAGGGACTACTTGTGAGATTAACACTGAATATTATTTACTTGTGTATTTCTGAGGAGTCATATGTCAGACCAAAGAGCCAGAGGCATGGAACAGGGCTCTGCTGTACAGGTGCTACAGAAATACCAGAATAAGACTTTGCCTTCTGCTTGAGTCCTTTGATGAACAGCAACCTTGACAATAACTTCCAGCTGGGACTGGCCAAAGAATGCAAGTTCTGTCTGATGAAAACATTTGAGGTTTTATATTTTTCCACATTAAAAACAAGCCCTCTTTCCAAAGAGTTCATTAAAAAAAGGACTCAGAGTCTCATTTGAAAAGTCCAGAGGCTGTGTCACTGACTTGGGTTGTGGGAGGCTCTGAATCATGCAGAGAACAGAAATTAATTCTGTATATCCTCCATCCAGGATGAGTACCAGTTCTTAAATATAGCATTTTCATTGTCCAAGAGTTTATGCTAGACTTGGAGACAACTTTCTGTTGAAAATGTCACTGATATCAACGCACATCTTAGTTAGTTAGTTAGATATCTTAGTTTTGGCATTAGAACACTCCTTAGAAATCCATAACTATCGTAAATCTAAAGTATCTTTTTCTGTTGGTACCATTTTAAAAAACTTCTCTTCCATACAACAAAACTTTTAAAAAACAGACTCAGAGGCCTTGTTAGGATTTAGTGAAGTTATGACATTTTCCACAACAAAATAAACAAGAAAGGACTTAGTTTAGTCCTTCTGCTTTCATGGGTAATTTATTTCTACTTCCCAAACATCTTAATATTTCAAACAGCTAAAAAAAAAAACAGTCAGAGATCTTTCCAGGTTTTCCAGACAGATGGATACGGTCTGACGGCCTAAGCCTCAAGGAGTGGGTGTTAAACAATAGAGAAATAGGGTTTCCTCGCTTCTCTGACAGGGAGCTGGAAACCACAAGCCCTCCTGACCCAAAGGGGAAAGCAGGCCAGCTGCTCCCAGATCCACAAGCTGAGAACTGCATTGGAAAGCATTCTACTCTATGTTGAGGCTTCCCAGGCTTTCATCTTCAGAGACCTGAGTTAAATTGCAGCTTAGGTCATATGAAAATGAAAATGGTGGTTTCAAAGTCCCTAGCAGATGTTTGGGAAATCACAAAAACTGTAACGCTGCTAGTGGTTAAAGGTTACAGGAAAGCTTCTACGGTTAATTCAAAGGCAAACAGAGTGCCATAGGACTAAATTCATGCTATGAAAGCTAATATACCAGAATCAAAAGATATTTCAGTATCTCAGCAGACATTTTTTCCACAGGAGCAAAACTCCCCCTCTGGAATTCCTTATGGGTGAGGCAATTTTATCTGCAAGTGCAAATGCTTAAGTCTGTTGGCAAATAATCCCAAAATGACAAACAAAATAAGAGACTCTAAGAGGTTGCCTGCTTTTTTAAGACTGACTGGGATAAATTAATCAAAACCAGAGTAATTTTTATTCACTGGTCCTCCATTAGTTGTGCAAACTGAAGTAAAGTAGGTTGTAAAAAATCTCTGGAAAGTGAGGTATGTGTTTAGGTTTTAGCTTTCCTAAAATGGTCTGTGTTCCTCAAAATGCCATAGGCATGGCCATCTAGGTAAGCAAAGAATATCAGCTTTGTGAGTGTGAGTTGATGGTTACATAATTACTATTTATGCATAAACAAAAATAAGAGGAAAAAAACCAAATTGCATTAATTCTGCTAAACAACCAATACTTTATTGCCACGTATTTCTTTCTTTTTACATTTTAAGCCTGAATTCCTAGCCAGGAATTCTTTCATATCCCCATTTGATAACACAGGTTATTTCATTTACTTTTGTAGAGCAAAAACAACTCTTAGACTAAAGTTTTTTCAGATTTTATCAAGTCTAAGAGTAAAACTGATTTTATCTACTGTGACAAACAGTGCCTTTGGAAATATGTGATATTAATCAGCTTGCCATCTGAAGAGATCAACTACAACTGCTGTAGACTAAATTGGTGCAAGAGAAAGGAATGGCCATCTCCCATTTCAAGGTGCCAGAGGCTTTGTTTTTGTTTACATTCTAAGTTTATCTCTAACCTGGGTCTAGAGGCAGTCTCAGAGCAGGTTAAACAAAGGTCAGCACAAAAGTACAGCAACTGATTCTGGCTACCTAGGAATTTGGTGAATGAAGAACTAATTAGGCAAGGAAAGCTATAGATAGCACTTCAAGTCGCACTGATAAGGATATCTTTCCCAATCTTGACTAAAAGTAAACCTTTTTAGAAGTCTGAAATACTCACATTACTCATTCAAATAGTAAAGTTTTTGGTTTGTTCTTTTTTTTTTTTTCCTTGCTGTGCTTTGAAGCAGATGGTTGAGAAAAACTAACCAGCAAGGATCCTAGCAGTCCTCCAGTGACATTTACGATCCAATCAGAGGAGCAAAGCAAAACAGAACAATGACAACACAGAAGTTTCATGGAAAGCAAACAAATTGTTTTTCATAAGATTTCCATTAAA